GTAGTCGATGGGCAGGCAAATGCAAAACATGACCGAACCATCGGAGGCGGTGTAGAACGACTTCTACCGTTAGAGAACGACTATCAGTACCCAGCACACGACGACGAATTGCGTCATTGCTCACGCGACGTTCCCACCGGACACGTGCAATCCTTCCAAGGCATCGGTGGTCGGATGCGGAAAGTCGATTAACACCCTCCGCTCGGAGAGGTCAGGTCTCGCAACTGTAAAGCAGAACACTACGGATCGCGGCGATGTACACTCGGCTCTAGCTATCGCTATTTGTGATGTGATCTCTTCCCCAACCCCACTTACAGCTGTGATTAACTCCCGAGGTACTTGGAGCTCTCGACCATTCCCAGCTGATCATCACTGGGGGTGAGTGCAGGCACAGGCTGCTGCCAGTCTTGAACAAGCACTTTTCACTTTGATGGTGCAAAGCACATACCATACCTGGATACCTCGATCGCCAAGTGGTGTAAAGCTTGTTGAACTGCCTGTGTATTGTTACCCAACAAGGTGATATCATCGGCATATTCTAAGTCAAGAACTCTGTTCCCTGGGAGGAGTTCGACTCCACCGTTTACTAAACCAGATAAAGCGGCCTGCAGAACATCCTCTATGTCGAAATTGAAAAGGAAAAGGGATATAGGGCAGCCTTGTCGAACTCCACTGGAGACGGCGAAGGATGGTGAAAGTTGGCCATAGGCCCTAACCCGACCTGAGGTATGACGATACAACTCTGAGGTATGGTGTATCGGAAGAAAAAAATGATATAGCTTGAGTTATTGCCATCCTGAGTGTTCCATTGGTAAATGATAAGTTTTGTTCTATCAACATTAAAATCAGTTCTGCCTCGGAGTTTCGGCTGCTTATTCTTCTGTGCTAAAACACCTTTAACTCTTTGGGGTTCGATTTCGTGCGAGTGAAACAGGTTGCTATGCGATCGTATTCAAACAAAATCTGAATAACAATCTAAATGAAATCGAATCTGACGCTCATCTGTTGAAATAGATGACGTTCAACTAGTGGGATACTGTTTGCTTTTGCTAAATATTCTACTCCAAACACCTCGCTCGAACTTGCGGATGTCGTAATGCGGGACGGGATTTTTCGGTGATCATCCTGATTCGAACTTAGAGGTTTTTGTTCAACTCAACCATACATGATTCACCACTCCAACTCCAATATATATTGATAATTTAATGGGTGTCTGATGGAAGTAGCACCTCTGACTCGATAAACTGTTCTTTTTCCTTTGTTTGAGGCATATTCTATGGAGCCCAGTTATTCTCGGCACAGCACAGCCAAGTTGTGCGATTTAGAATACGCCGATGACGTCGTATGTCTGTTCGAATGTATGGAGGACGCGCAAAGCGCACTTGATAGACTAACAAGTACCGTTGCCACATTCGGTATGTGCTTTACACTTTCAAAGTGCAAAGTGATGCTGCAGGGTTGGGTTTCGCCTACTCCCGCTCTGAAATTAAACGGTAAGGAATTAGTTACGGGCGATTGCTTTTCCTACTTAGGTAACTGCATGACCAATGACGGTGGCCCAGCAAAGAAGATAACCGCCCGCATATCCAAGGCTCGAGCAGCGTCCGCAGGATTGAAACACCTTTGGCGTAGACGTGACGTTTCACTGAAGTTGAAAGGTCGTGTATATTGTGCTAGCGTGTGTTCAGTTCTGCTTTATGGTTGTGAGACCTTGAATTTGCCGGTAGAAGACATCCGTCAACTAGAGGTTTCCGATTATCGATGTTTACGCAGTTTAGCCCATGTTGGATGGAGCGAACGGGTTAGTAACGTGGAGGTAAGCCGCCGTGTGTTTGGGATTCTATCAGGTATAAGCCTAAAGGCGCATCGAATTCAGATTAGTAGACTTCACTGGCTAGGGCACGTATTGCGTATGCCCAGCCATTTTCCGCCGCACCGCACTTTATTCGCTGTAGCTGGTCCGGGCTGG